CATGTTTTCAACCGAGCTGGACTGAGGTGTATCTCATGCTGTGTAAGGTCGATTTACAATCTAAATGATGTATAGTGGTTGAATGTATAAATAATAATAATAATAATAATAATAATAATAATAAAATTTTTTAAAAGAAAAAAAAAAAAAAAGAAAGAAGAAAGGCAATCCTCTCAGGCCGTCTCGGGGAGAGATGAGGAGGCGCAAGCTTTGTATTATTTTTAATCAGTACAATTTAGAAGCATTAACTTCGCCATCTGGATTTTCAGAGTGTAGATGCAGAGCATTATCTGCCTCATGTTCCACTTGACAGCAGCTGCATTCTGCGCTTTCCCTGTCCACAGTTCAGGTTAAGGTTCTCAGGCTGTTTCTGTTTTCTCTCCTAGCCAACAACTGCTGTTTCAGCACTGAGTGAGGAAAAAGAACAGAGCACGACACTGCAGGTCCTTCCCAACTACCCACGAAGGAAAGCTCAGAAGCACAGCGGTGGGGAGATAGCGTACCACACGGTTCACCCCGTTATGTGGTAGACTGAAATTCACCGTAAAAGGACCAGCTTCTCTCGTGCTCAGACTGAGGACTAAGGTCAACCTGTCTCGGAGAGTGCTACTGCCCAAGTAGATCTTCCATGACCCTCAGTCTGCGAGGATTCTTTCTATGCTCTGGATAATCGAGCCCGTACCCTTAAAAGTTTGCAAATACGATGGGCTGTCTTATTTTTTGTCCTGGAAAGTTTGTTTCACTGAACGCATTTCTGAAAGACTCCAACGCTTACAAAATAGCTTCGTCACACAGACGACAGAGCCTCGCACTCCCGTCTTCGGACGAGGCAGCACAAGCCGTTCCAGACATCTTGGCATATTTTTTATACAAAGAATTTTCAGACTCTTTGACTATTGAGATTTCCTAGTAATCCTGTCGTATTTGCAACCCCAAGTGTAAATCAGCAAGAATATTATCATTTCATGCGAAACAAGGACAAATAGCAAACGAAAATGTCCATCAGGAAGTGGGAACAGACTGGACTTACGGGGTGCCCGCTCGGTCCTGGCCGACCCTGGGGGCCTCTTTCACCAGCTACGCCACGCTCTCCCTTTCAGAATAAATGGAAAGACAAAATTAGATTTCTCCTTGCAGTTCATGCACAGTCACTCTGTTCAAGTCTCGTCAGTGTCACCCCACGGTCTAAGGAAAATCCTTCCTCTGGGCTCTGTTAAATGTAGCTCACTGCATACAGTCACAAACCTGGCACCAAAACTGAGCCAATCAGGAACGCAGCACCAAGTGCGGAACTGTTCATAATCGGGGCTTTGGACAGATCCGTGCGAGTACCGATCTGTTGCTGCGCCTTTGCCTACTAACGTACGTGACCCGTCTCTCTGTCTCTGTCTCCACGTCTCCTTCTTCTCTGTTCACCCATCAACACCAACACCAGCAACCAGCGACTTGGGCCGGAAATGATGGTGTGAGGACTTGTGTAAGGAGAGACCAAGGGTCCCCCAGCTGCCGTCAAGGGTGCGTCCTCTGACATTTACCTTCATTCCTCTGGGCCCATCTTTGCCTGGTGAACCGCCTGGCCCTGGAGGCCCAAGATCCCCCTGCAACAAGACCATGGTCAGCACCACCAGGACCACAGAGTAAACTCTCCTCTTATCAAAACGGCCTGAAGCCGACAACGTGCTCATAAATCACCCTGGAGATTCAAGCTTAGTCTTCAATGCTTAACATTAAAAATGTTATCCTCCGACATGAAATGCCTCATATACACACGTACACACTGGGCCGAGGACTGAGGGTGGGTGAGCAGGATGTTCTGTGCAAGAACACACACCTAACACACGCAGATTTGGAGGAATTATCCGTACATTAGGGCTGGACATGTGATCTGAGCAAGAGAAAAGGCAAAAATCGGGACCAGCAGATGGCGTGATGGCTACGTCGCTGGACTCCCACATAGTTGACTGTGGTTTGGGTCCTGGACTTGGCGGCTTAAAACTCACACCGGGCACATGTGCGTGCGTGCCCAAGATCCCAAGAGGAGAATGGAGGAGGAGGGATTGCAGCATGGCCATCTCCCCTGGGGGATGATGTCTCACTCTCTGTCTCTGTCTCTCTGGGGAGCACACGCATCCATTAGCAAAAAACTATTTTAAAAAAAGATTATAAACCTTGATTTTTACCCACTTCAAATAGTATTTTAAAGTAATACTGAAAATAATACAATTCACTGAGGCTAGGTTTCCCTGAGTCAGGGAGAGAACAGACAGGGCTATGACTGACCACCCTAAACCTGCTATTGTGAGTCTCCCAGGGCAGACCTCCGTCCCTAACTGAAATCACGCTCTCAGGCCTCTAAGTTACTCAGATGCTCCTGTCCTCGGGAAGCCACGCTGGTCATTCGTGTCCATCGTCTGACCCTTCCAGTGCAGAAGTACCAGAAAGGCCCGCGTGGGAGGCCAGGTCACGCCGACTGTGTGAATGACACATGGTGTGAGCCCCGGCCCTGTCTCCTTCTCTCTAACACTGAGATAGCAACGCATGCTTGCTTATTTGTGAGGGGCAGATCACTTATGTGTGCTCCCGCTACGGGGCTGTTACTGTGTCCCACAGTGCTGTGAGAGGAGTCCGTGTCACATGCCTCTGCGGTTCAGACGCCTAGCTCAGTGGCCACTACATGTCCACTGTGCACCGAGTGGAAGGGCGAGCAGCTGGTGAACGTCTACTGCCATCTGATTATAGCTCCTGAAATTCCTGATACCGACAGGTCTCAGCAAACGACGGAGCTTTGTTATTTTCAGGACGATGAAGGGAGCATTGGCCAATGAGCAGCTGAGCTGCAGGCCCAGTCCCCAAACCTACCTTAGCACCGGGGAGGCCTTCTCGTCCCAAGTCTCCAGGTGGGCCTTGACTTCCTCTTGGTCCCTGGTCCAAAGATGAAATTACAATTCAGTTAATTACGCATTACTGCCAGAGAGCATGTGCTCACCCGAGGAAGAGGGAGTCCCCGGTGGGGCATGGTCACCCACATCCCTCTTCCTCCAGCCCTCCTTCCCGTCAGCATTTTGGAAATGCACACACATGTGTCCTGTGCATTCTTCAAGCCACAGGGGCCAGAAGTAAAACCAGGATCAACCTGTGGAACCCTGCTCCCTTAACCACTGACGACGGGACTGGCTTTCATTCGGTTATTACTTGTAGAGCCATTCGATCCACGTAACCACAAAGCCCTCTTGGATGACTGTGGGCCCAAGCCAAGGGACTTGGTTAAGGTACCCCGATTCCTCGCAGCTCTGTTTATCAGGTAACATGGTCACTCTGAAGCACCCCACCTACCCACCCCAACTCATACCTGAAGCACAGGTGTGCGTCCTCAGTAACTATATTTTTAGCAATCTCACTAGTTGATTCTAATGAACATTAAAATTTGAGAACACTGCATTTATGTTTTAATTCACACAACTAATTTTAAATCCCAAAAGGGAAATGAAAAGGGTAACTAAGATATTGATTTCCTCTGAAAACTTTAACCTCTTTCTCATACACACAAGAGCTAAGGACGGGACCAGCAGTTGGTGTAATGGCTATGTCGCTGGACTCCCATGTGGTTGACCACGGTTCAAGCCCCGAACCTAGTGGCTTAAACTCATGCTGGGTGCATGTGCATGCGTGCCCAAGATCCCGAGGGGACAATGGAGGAGAAGGGATTGTGATGTGGCCATCCCACCTGGGGGGTGATTTCTCGCTTTCTATCTCTCTGTCTCTCTCTGTCTTTCTGGCAAGCACACGTGCCCTATAGCAATTGCAGGCACCCGTGCCCTAAAGAAAAAACCCCTAAAAAAAAAAAAAAAAAAAAAAAAAAAAGCTAAGGACAGGAGCTCATGTTATCGATTTCATCAAGAACCAATAGTGCACTCAGATAGCTTAGCCTCGCTGACTGCATTGCGGGGGCTGCCCGTTCTCTCTGCAATCTATTTTACTTTGCTGATTTTTTATATTGCTTTTTCTCATTTTTCTGAGCAGCTCCAGTTGGAAATGCTGATCAGGCTTCTCCTAGGTGAGGTAGGGACCGTCATCTATTAACCTGACCATCACACCCACATCCCAGGGAGCTGAGCACTGGAGAAAGATTTTTATTGACGATCTCGCTGTTTCCCAGCATGGGCAACTTCCCGTTCACCCCACAGCATAGTGAAGTGGATGGGGAGGGGAAGGCAGGGTCAACATGGCGGCAAGAACTGGATTTGATTAAGCCAGTGATAAAGAGAGAGAGAGAGAGAAGTATGTGTACCTTCTAGTTCCCCACTGAGTTCAGATCATATTTCTGTCATTCAATAAATGTAATTTCCGTTTTTTATTTTTACAAGAGAACAAATTTGCTATAGGGTGAGTGTGCTCACCAGAGAGACAGCGAGACAGAAAGCAAGAAATCACCCCCGGGGGAGGGCATGCCGCAACCACTTCTCCTCCACTCTCCTCTCTGGAGTTTGGGCACGCACACACACGCACCTGGTGTGAGTTTTAAGCCACCAGGTCTGGGACTCGAGGTCAGCTCCATGGGAGGTCAGTGACATCACCATTATGACATCTGCTGGCCCAATCGATGTAACTGCTGCTCACACTTCAATTATCCATTTCTACCCTCACTAACCCAAATTATCATCTGACACAGAATTGTATTGGGGAGAGTGATTTAATATATTAGTAAAACGTGTTGCTTTGATGTTCTCCCCTTTAAGGATAGCTGGAAACAATTGATGTTTTAAAAGAAAGGTACAGAAAGTGACCCAGGGGACACACGGGGTCACAGATTTGGATTACACTCAGGGGATGCCAAAAGACCTGGCTGGAAGTCCAAGGTCCTGGTTGTCCCTGGATAACGCAGCTCCCGACTAGGCTGAACCCGAGGCCTGAGGCGTGAATGAGCCAGACCCACGAGCAGAGTGCCCTGTGCTCACTAACACCTTCCTAGTGATCCCGTCCGACAGACAGGAGAGGTTTTCACCAGTAAGGACAGTGGAGTGATCTGAACCCACAGCTGCAGAGGCAGCGAGCTCGGCTTCTCCCGGCAGACTGCCCGAGCTGGGCCCCGGCTTGGCGCTGACCGCTGTGTCGGCCTGGCTGGGTTTCCTACTCTCCATCCCCTCCCCGCTTCTCCCCTATAAACGGGGACACTAAGAAGCTCGCCGCCCCAGCCCCCGGGACCGCGAGTCGGGACGGCGTTCCAGGCATTATCGAGGACACAGAGGCCAACGGGCACAGCCAGGTGGTTTAGCGGTCCCAGAAGGCAGCTCGGGGGGTGCCGAAAGGAAGGTGTACAGCCTCGCTCTGATTTACGCTAGCTTTCCATCAAACAGTGCAGCTACAATTCCAGACAAGTACCCTTCAGTACGAAGCCCGCGTTCTCTGATACAACCTGTGAGCCGGGATGCCCGATCTCTCCTTGGCGACCCTGTTCCCCGGACTCTCCGCGTACACCCTGTCAATAGGAATAAGCAGTGAGTTCACAAGCAGCTGTGGTGTTCCTACGGACGACAGCCTTCCCTGCGAGAGGCTGCCTGAGAGGCAGAAGAGGAAGGTTCAAGAAAGATTTGCCTGGCTGTGACCGATCCACGCAGGAGATGGAACTGGAAGGGGCTGTGGAAGGTCTTGTTCACACTCACACTGCGGAAACGGAAAACCAGACTCTGCCTTTCCCCACCTTCGTCTTCCAATGTCTCAGCGACAGGAGCAAAACCGCCGGATTAAATAACGCGGACATCACACTAGTGACATTCGCAGTGCAACACTCACAGGAGTTATTCTAACTCTCCTCTTGTACACGGAAGATGTCAGCCAAGGAAACAGGACAAAACCAAGAAACGACAACACAGTTTTTCTTTACATCCCTGATCACGAGACCTAGCAAAATACAAATGACCTAAATGCCCAGTGTGGGGCTAGGTTAGTAAATGCTGGTACTTATAGAGTAAAATGTAATGTATTCAAATGATAGTGGGAGATTTGGAAACATAGACAAGCAAAATATCAATAGCATAGTATACACACTATGAATATCCTTCATTATTTATACAATAAAGGGAATGCACAAACAGGAGTGTCACTGTAGCAGGTTGGTAGGTTTATAGACTTTTTTGAATTAATGGTGTCTTAATTTTATCATGAACAATAAACTCAAAGTTTTACCTTATTACCAAAACACCATGCATCAGTTTGTTTGTCATAAATATCATCTTTTTCACAAATAAAATTATATTTAAAATTCTATTTTAATATTATGCACCTTAAAAAATCAAATCCAGTTTTATAGAAAATAATGAGCCTTATTTTCCGAAAGTTCAAGAAATGCTGTAATTTGGAGTTCCGCAGCTCTTACATTCTTCCAGTGGGAGTGACCAACCTTTAGTGAGTTAAAGGTTCAGAATATAATGGAATGGCCATTGCTCCCACATTGGGCCAACCAGCAAACCACTGGCATGTTGGACAATCCCAGCTCACTCTGAACTCTGCAAATAGTTATGATTTTATCTCTTATTTAAAAATCAAAACTTGAATAAGAAGGGGAGTAGTAAACAACTCTAGGATCTCATCAAGATTACGATATGCCAGAGAGAGAAGCTTCCAGTTAAAGATGTCAGTTTATGCACGCTCATCTCGCCCCTGAGCTGAGAGGGTGCCATCGAAGTGCACCCCAGCAGGTCAACAGTGCTGAGAGCCAGAGAGCAATGAGTCTGGAGTGGGGCCGAGACCGAGGGCTCAGGAGGGCCGTGTAGAGAAACGGCCCTTGTGTGTTTGCGTGTCCTAGAAGGTTATCATTTCTGTTGAAGAGTTTTATGATTCACTAGTAAAAGACACATGGGGGAAGAGTGACTCGAGAAAACAAAAGTTATAAAGCCGTGAGCTGCATTTACCTCGTCAGCATGTGCACAGTGAGTTAACTTGACCAAGAGCGGGAATAGAGGCATACCTCAAGAATGGTTTGGGGAAAAGTTTCTCAAAAATGAGTGGACAGAGTAAGAAGTTAGCTCTTTATCCAGCATTGTAAGAAATCAATAGGAAACTATTTCGTTTCTCCTCCTTCCCTAACTCACGAGATTACTAGAAAAAAATACTAGCAGAACGTGATCAGACGGAGTCAGCGAGCCTACAGGAAACGGACGTGCTTTAGACAGCAACTTCAAAGGGCAGATGGTCCACTGAGACACTGGGTCTGAGTCCTGGCGCCGCCAGGTTGTAGCTACGGGACCTCTGACAAGTCACTTCTCGGTGCTAAGCCTCTAGGCCCTTTCTTGTAGATACAGAGTAGCCGGTGCTGCTCAGAACCCCTGAGGAGCTGCGGAATTTTCATGAGGTGGAAAATGAACAGCTAGCGTGGTTTCAAGTGCTAGATGATCACTTGGTAAGACAGACCTCCACAGAGACGCCCTCCAGTCTCCGTCAACCACACCATTGTCTTCTGTGAAGGCCAAAGCTCAATCTTTCTCCTCCGTCTGCAGACCGAGGTCACCTTACACCCTGTAGGAGGTCCCACTTTTTCAGACGGGATAGTCACTGTATCAGAGGTAGGAGGCCTTCTCAGAGGCGTGAGCTTGTTTTCAATCTAAACGAAATATGAGGAGTCTACAAAAAGTTCATGGCGAATGTGTATGATGAAAAGCAATGCATGGATTTCAAAAATCTTGCGCCAGAGTAGACTTGTACTTTAAGTCCCTTTTTCTGAGAACTTTTTGAAGCTCCCTTGTATTGTAGCCAAGTCGGGAAGTGGACAGAGAACCATATAAATATTTCTTCATGAAAAGAACATGGAAACTGCCCCGTGATTCCCCTGCAACCTCGGGCAGCCCAGTCAGCACCCCTCTTGACCTGGAAAGAACTCGTTAGAGCAGCCAAACAAGCAGAGCTGGGGCAGCCCTTCCAGAAAGCACTGACCTTCAACCCGGGCAGGCCTTGTCTTCCTCTTGGCCCCTAAAAACAGAAGGGAAGTGGAGAGTTAAGGAAAGGAAACAACCCAGTTTTCACCCCAGCCTTCCTTCGTACCCCACAAAGCAGGGAAAGAACTCCACCAACAATTGTACCTACCTGAGGGCCGGCACTTCCAGTTTCCCCCCGAGGTCCATCAAAACTGGAACGTCCCTGAAAAGGAAGCGGTAAGAGGAAGGTCAGTGTAGACGCATACGCATCTGCATTGGTCGGCCAGGTTTCTGGTGTCCACAGAAGTCACTAGCAACATGAATCTACCAAAGTTGAGTCCAATAAAATAAAAGATTTAGCTCCTTAGTTACACTGAGCACACCCCAAAGGTTCACTAAGTGTGTGCGGCGACAGGCCCACCATATTGGATAGATAAAGGACGTTCCCAGGGGCCCGGGAACTTCTCCTGGTGGTGCTCCTCAAGGAGCCCGTTAGCTTAGTGGTTAGGGGAGTAGATACCACACGGTTGGCCATGGTTCAAATCCCAGCGCTTGCAGCTTGAAAACACTCTGGGCATGTGGGCAGGCCTGCCTATAATCCTGACAGGATGGAGAAATGAAGACGGGGTGCAGTGGGCTCACACCCCACGGGGGGATTCTTCACCACACCTCTACCCCCATCTCCCTCTGGCAAGTACAGGTGCCCTCTAGCAAATTTTTAGAAAGTACAAAGAAGAAGAAGATAGCATTAAATTCTGATATTTCAGAATAACAATATAGTAGGCATCTTCCCCCAAAGACTGTTCCTTTGGCGACCCCTCGGAGCTCACCTCGCTAGGCGAGCAGTCACTCCTTGGCCAGCAGGCCAGACACTACTTCACATATTGGCACACTCCTTTCTGCCTGGGTGAGGAGGGGCCTGAGGGACAGAGACAGAAGGCAGGAGAGTGCCTCTGCACACAGGGGCGGGCCAGTCACTCTCACCTCTACAGGGCCAGAAACGGGAAGACGAGGGGCTGGCAGGTAGAGTGCTGGTGGAGGTACTGGACTCCCACATGGCCAACCACGGTTCGAGTCCCAGACCTGATGGCTTGCTTTCTCACTTCCTCTCTCTCTCTCTCGTCAAATTTAAATAATAATAGTAATAGTAATAAATACAATTAATAAATCTTTTTTTATAGAAAAAAAGAAATGGGAAGATGAGTGATGACCAAAGAAAGAATGAGTCCACCCTTCAGGAGAAAGGGAAGCCATGTGGGACCCACAACCGTTTGGGGACATTACACACTCTCTCAGTAGGGCATCTAAATGGGGAAGACTTGGGACACACGAAAACAGAGACATCTGTGCAAAGCCTCCCATCCAGCAGCTAAAGTAACAGCTTAAACCCGAAGTAAGTGAGACATCCCACAGGATGAGGGACGTCCTTGTTCAATTACAGTAGAAACACTGATACAGTATGTGACAATAGAAACTGTATTTATCAGAAGTTTACAAAGTGAAAACAAAACGGTGTTGTGACGCTGCTCTTTTAAAGTATGCTAAACTGTGCACGTAATTCATTCCAAATGCACACACGAAGAAATGAATATTCCCAATTTTTTTAAACACACACTTGAGGGCAGAAGTCTGACTGCTTTTTCCTAGTTCTAAAACCCCTTCCAGGGGGCCTGGGGAGAGTCAGCCACAGACATTAACAGGCCCCTTCGGCCGTTTGATAACAGAACCCTTCCTACACCCTGTCCCTGGCATAGTGTCCCTGTAATGGGGCATCCGCCCAGTTCTTTACAGAACATTGGACTCACTGATAACGGGACTCGTCAACATCCTGTCTCGGGGCTGTGTCTTGGGACTGATTACAAGCCCCCTTATCTCTGGTAAAGTACACTCTCGGCTAATTCCTTCCCCAAACCTACAAGCCCTGCTTCCACGTGTCCGCCTTTCTGGGCCAGGCCAGTGGACAGCTCTTCACTCAATTCTCTCACTCTCAAAGTCAAACAAAAGGAGCCCGGTACCTGATCACCCGGGAGAGGGGCGTGCTTTGCCTCCCCTCCAACCTGGGTCTTGCAAACTCGCGCCTAGAAATAAACCACGTTAGTCATTTTGCAGAGTTGGTTATTTCCGTCGGCACACTAGAACATTTTTAATAAAGCCCATGGGACCGGCACCAGGCTTCTTCTAGGAAAGGAAGAGCCATGGCAGAAAGTTCGGTAAACTAGCCATTTCCTCGGCTTCCGGAACGGTGGAGATTTTCTCTACATTTTGCCTTTCTGTGTTTTCAGATTTCTACAGTGAATGTTGCTTTTATCGACTTTGCTAACAGAATTATTTATTTAATTTTCTTTCTTCATTCATTTATTTTAATTCGACCAGAGAGCGAGACAGAAGGAAAGTGAGAAAGCAAGTCACCAGGTCCGGGACCTGAACTGTGGTGGGCAGAGCCCCAACCACCACACCACTCGCTGGCCCCTTACTGACTTTTCCTTAAAAAACATTACAACCTACTTTTTCTGGGCAAAGGCTACAGCGAAAACTCTCTCATGAAGGGTGTTGAGATAATGAGAAGTATTTAAAAGTAAGATCGGCATTAAGTATTTAAAAGTAAGAGCGGCATTCCATCGCCAACGGCAGCCAGCACCTGCAGCCCGCACAGTAACGCCGTGATCTGAGCAGACGCCGGAGACGCTGGGCCAAAGGCCGCTGGGAAACGGAGCGTTTGCAGCCTCGGAGCATCACCCAGAGGACGCGTGTGTCAGAGAAAGAGGAACAAGTACGCTCACGGCGCATACTGCAAACACGAGGTGGAAAATGACTGCTGGTCACATGTATGACTGAGCCACTCTACGGATGCTCTGATGGGAAACTGCATCGTGTGTGCTGTAACGCCGTCCCGTGAACCACTGCTAAATAAATACGTAAACAATGACCTCGTTACAAACTGGGTTTAACTCGGGCCCAGACACATGAAAATGGGCGCTAACTAGCCATGAGCCAGGGAGGTGAGCTGATGTCCTGCCATTTTGTTCAGACACATGAAAATGGGCGCTAACTAGCCATGAGCCAGGGAGGGGAGCTGATGTCCTGCCATTTTGTTAAAAGATGCAAAATCGGAGCACAAAGCAAAAAGAAGTTCCTGTCCCCTGCCAGCATTGCGCTCCGCAGACCTCCTTCCTGAAAGCGAGTACTGAGAGACTGAGAGGACTTGGGCACCTGGGCCGCAGCCGTGTTTAGGGTCATGCACTTTCATGTCTAGGAACGCAAAGCTCTACACCGGCTCCCGAGAGCTCGGCGTGGTCAGGTCTACACGCCCTTCTCCTGTGCTCCGGCACCGCCCTGCCGGTCACTAGACCTAGACAAGCGTTTGGCCCCAGCACAACACCAGGCCCCGTCAGTCAGTCAGTCAGCACGGGCCGAGGGGCGGGATGTGGGGATCGTTACGGAACTGGGAAGGTTGGAAGCTGGAAGGCCGTAGGCAGGTCGAGCCCAGAGCGTTCATCTTGGATGCCAGGATACGGGAGACAGAGGCAGAGCCACGTGGGTTCGTAGGGCTGTGAGTGAGCCATCTTACCTGGTGCCCTCGTCTTCCTTGTTCTCCCTTAGGGCCTTGGATATAACTATCAACTCCAGGATCCCCCTGGGGGAGAAGAACAAAAACAAGATTGCTTATTTCAAATGAACAGCAAAAAAAAAAACATTACAGGAAGAAAGAGAGAGGGAGGGGAAGGAAAGGACAAAGGGCGGGCAGGACAAAGTGAGCTCTTCTGCTTTTCTGGACCTAGTCAGTGAGCCCAGACCCCAATGCAATGAAAATTTTGACCTCTTAAAGCACCTAAATGTTCTATAAGCTAGGGCTTCCCTTTACATATCTTATCTGAGCGCTAACATAGGCTGAACAGATGCCCCATCACCGCGTAATTGCTCTCTGTCCAACTCCCTGGGGTCCACACAGCAGAAGCTCCCAACCATCACTCACAGGGTCTCCCCGGAACCCAGGATCGCCACGCTCCCCAGGTTGTCCTGGTGGTCCTGCCAAACCCTTAAATCACAAAGAAAAGAAATGTCAGTCTTCAAAATCCCCTATTACCTAAGAGAAAGAGAATATTAAGAGGGAAATTAAAAATCAAACTAAAAGACAACTTAGTATTTAAACTTTAAAGCATTTGCTGCCAAAGAGGTGAGGCTGAGAAATAAAAAAAAAAAAAATCTTTTATGAGAAACCTGCCGTATGTTTGACCTAGATTAACCCCTAAGAACTCAGGAATTAATCCATTAGCACAGGAGAGACCAGGAGGGCTTGGAGTTGGACCCAGGCCTACCTCCTATCAAACCCCTGACCTTCCTGCCTTCCCCTGACGCTCCACAGAGAAACCACGTGTAG